CGTTGGGGGAATTGACAAATGAAATAACTACCTTTTCCCTCCCCTTCGCGTTAAAAAGGAAAAAGACAGCGCTGGAGGTAGATGGTTGTATTTTTTCCGGTCGCTGTTGGGTGTCCACCTTAAGCGGCGCAGCAGTTCGGGGGTGCCCCGCTGCCGCTCCGGGCTGGCCGGGCTGCGGGTCCCTGGGCACGGCGCTGGGGCTCCATCTCCCCGGGCAGCGCTGGCACGGMCCCCTCGGGACCCCCGCCGGGCCGCGGAGGGGCCGCTCCGGCAGTACCGAGAGCTTCTGGCGCTGAGCCGCTGCCGCCCGGGACGAGTTCCCCGGGCCGGAGCTCGCCGGGGCCACCTTAAGATTTAACACGTGGGGCCTTTTTGTTGCTCGCAGCTTTAACTTTGCGCCCAGAAATAGCGGCGGGGTCGGGCTGGCAGAGCGCGGGGCACAGCCGGGGATGGGGACGGGACCGGGGCGGTGAGCGCTGTCCCGGGACACGGACAGACCGGACAGGACGGGTGGCGGTGGGGCAGTGACCCCCGGCCGGACCGGACTGCGGCAGTGCGCGCTGGGCCGGGCCGGACACCAACTGTGTCGGAAGTTTGCCCAGGAATTTACAGTGTTGCTCTAAATATTTATGCTTTCCGCTGGAAAAAAAAAATGTAGCAAATACAAACATCTGAAAGTTACGAGGTTTGTTTTCAGTCCTCGGTGTATTTGGAGAGTAGCCGTGAGCGGGTAGAGTGTTGGAAGCGAATAAAAATCCTGCCTTATTTTTAGCTAGTCTCTATCTACAAATTTGAGATGTAGTTAAAGATTTTTTTTTAATTGGGGTTTATTGCAAGACAGAAGGGTTGCGTTTTAARACTGAACCCGTTTTGTGCTGGGGAGGTCGAGTGGCTCGTAGGGAATGACAAACCATGGACGTGCCACCTCTGGGAGCTCCGGACCTGCTCTGGAAGGGGAGAGCTGACTGGGAAAGGTGGCAAACGTCCTTTTCCCTTGCTCAGAGTGTCGTTAAATACCAGGGAAATTTTCCTTGCAAAATCTGTGTAGCGGGTGCTTTAACAATCCTTACAGTTCCCTGGTGCGGGGATGGGTGACAGAGCTGGAGAGTGCGTGCAGAGAGATCTCACGTGCTATAGCCTGATTCTGAGTTGTGTGTGCAGGCAGACCTACCCCTTCATACAGGTTTAGCAAAGCTTTAAAATACACGTTTACCCCTCACTAGACAGAAAACAAAAATTCAAACCCCGTGAAAACAAACGCAGTGTGTTTGAGAGACGTGGCACGTGTCAGCCCAGAGTGTGGTGTGCCGTGCCTTCGCTCTCAGAGCAGCTGAGCCAGGTTTGCCMGGCGAAGCATTCAGACTTTTAATTTTTAAACTGTTATTAATGTGTCCTTGCTCACTTTGACTGCTTCTGATCTTTTTACAGTTAATGGTAAAGTAATGGATTCCAAAGAATTGATTAACCCATCGGATCAAGACGGAACCAGGAAAAATGCGCTCATCAGTACCAAAGGAGGGATCGTGATGGACTTCCATCCACCCTTCAGGGGTGGAGCTACTGTCCAARCCCCTGTGTCTACATCTCCTCTCCCTGCATCTTCTCAGTCAGATTCCAGTCAGCAGCCTGCTTTGACTGACTTTCCAAAAGGATTAGGAAACAATGTGCCTCAGCCAGACCTTTCCAAGGCAGTGTCGCTCTCGATGGGACTGTACATGGGTGAAACAGATGCAAAAGTGATGGGAAACGACCTTGGATTTTCGCACCAGGGCCAAATCGGTATCTCTTCTGGAGAAACGGACTTCAGGCTCCTGGAGGAAAGTATTGCGAGCTTGAACAAGTCCTCGAGCCTGGCCGAGGACGCCAAGGGATCCGCGTCTTCGGAGGTGCCGCTCGAGCCGGATTTCCCAGGCATGGCCGGACGCAGCGTGCCCGCAGAGTCGGGAACTGCGGTCCAAAGCCAGGTGGGCTCGAATGGTGGCAACTTGAAGTTGTTCTCTGAAGACCAAAGCACCCTGGATATCCTCCAGGATTTAGAATTGCCGCCGGTGTCGCCGGGCAAGGAGCCCAACGGGAGCCCGTGGCGGCTGGACCCGTTGCTCGATGACGGTGGCTTGCTGTCCCCCATATCCGCGGACGATGCCTTTCTCCTGGAAGGAAGTCTCGGCGAAGACTGCAAGCCTCCTCTTTTATCTGACACTAAACCTAAAATTAATGACCGTGGTGACCTTTTACCCAGTTCCAAAATGCCAATGCCTCAAGTGAAAACAGAAAAGGAAGACTTCATTGAACTCTGTACTCCTGGCATCAAGCAGGAAAACATGGGCCCACTTTACTGCCAGGCCAACTTCTCCGGGTCRAACCTGCTGGGTACGAAAGTCTCGGCCATCTCCATCCACGGTGTCAGCACCTCTGGGGGACAGATGTACCACTATGATTTAAATACTGCCTCGCTCTCTCAGCAGCAGGATCAGAAACCAATTTTTAATATCATTCCGTCTCTTCCTGCCGGGTCAGAAAATTGGAATAGGTGCCARGGATCGGGGGACGAGGCACTGGCTCCACTGGGAACGCTCAACCTTTCTGGCAGACCTGCTTTCTCTAATGGCTATTCAAGGTAATTAGTTTTTGTTGCTCTTTATTAAAATGCTACAAGTGTTTAGCACAACTCCATGCATGCTGGTTTGTTGTTTGGGCTTTTTTCCCTTTTTTTTTTTTTCCCTTTTTCATTTGGTACGTCTGGCTGATCAGACATCACTGGGGAATGTTTATCTCACAGTACTACAGTAGCTTTAACCAGCTACTCAACTATTGGTATTAGAGGGAAAAAAAAGAGGAGGGGAGCTGGCATGCTTAAAAAGGTAAATAAATAAAAATAAAACTTCTGAGATGCAGCTTAGAGGGAAAATCGAGTACGTGGTAGCAGGATCCATACCCAGGCAGCATGGTAAGAAGTATTTAAGTGTATACAAAAGCTCTTTCGTTCCCAGGGGTTAGAGGATCAATCACTGTGGGCTTTTTTTCCATCCTAACATTACTTAAATGTTATGCACAAAAATAACTTGGTTGCTGGGTAAATTTCTAGAATTACATTTAAGCTGAACTCGRGTTTTCGCTGTGCTCGGTATCGCATTTACCTTACATGGACAAGAAGATTCCGAGTGGGAAATACTCAGCAGCTTGTTCAATAACTGCATTTACCGAGATAAGAATATTTGCAGTCAGATGTAAACGTACCTGGAATTTAACTCCTGAGTAGCCCAGCAGTGAGGCTGCTGGTTTGTACCTGTGGCCATGTCTCGGTGGTTGTGTTTCCTGCAAGGAATCCAGGGGTGCAGCTATTGCAGGGAAACGCTCCTGGAGGAGCGGCATGGTCGGGGCAGTGCTCGGGCAGCTGTGCACAGCTGTGTGGGGGAACGGCTCCCATATTGGGGGAACACTTCCCATATGGGGGGGAACGGCTCCCATAATGGGGGGAATGGCTCCAGTGTGGGGGGAACACTTCCCATATGGGGGAACGGCTGCCGTATGGGAAGAACACTTCCCATATGGGGGAACAGCTCCCATAATGGGGGGAACAGCTCCCATATGGGGGGAACAGCTCCCATATGGGGGGAACAGCTCCCGTATGGGGGGAACACTTCCCATATGGGGGAACGGCTCCCATATGGGGGGAACACTTCCCATATGGGGGAACGGCTCCCGTATGGGGGGAATACCTCCCATATCGGGGAAACGGCTTTCATATGGGGGGAAACGGCTCCCATACTGGGGGAACACTTCCCATATAGGGGGAACGGCTCCCATAATGGGGTGAATGGCTCCCATTGGGGGTGAACGGCTCTCATAGGGAGGGAACGGCTCCCATTGTGGGGGAACACTTCCCATTTCAGGGGAGCAGTTCCCATTCCCGGGGAACCCTTCCCATTCCAGGGGAACATTTCCCATTCCAAGGGAGCATTTCCCATTCCAGGGGAGCACCCAGCTGTGTGTTCTCTGTGCTCTGTGTTTAACAAACGCTTGCACGAGCGGTGTGTGGCCTCCACGGAGGAGGGGGATTTTGTGGAGTCTGTTAGAGAAATGACTCTACAAGTCCCCATACTGAAACCCAGTATTTGTAGGCTTTTAATGAAGGATCTGGTTTAATGTTCTGGGTTTTATTGCCTTGCTGACAATTGATCCCCAGGGTGTTCCCCACCAGTCCCGGGGCTCTCCCTTTGCAGTATTTTCTCTGTTTTCCCATGGTTGGAATGAAGTGTGTGAAGATTTGTTCTTTATTTCAGGAAGACAACTTTTAGCTTGCTTTCATTCTCAATTTCTTTCACAGATTTTGATTTCTGTTGTGAATATGTGCTTCTTTTCTTTGAAGGGTTTAAAGTAATTTGTAATGTAAGGGATCCCGAAAAGAAAATCAAAATCTGTGGATAGACTCTACCTTGATATATGACTATGAAGCGTGTCTTACCATTTATTTGAACAGAATAGAARTGCTTTGTGCTAACCTTTTGTGTAATTAGTACAATTCCATGTTGTGTTCAGTTGTGTTTCATGGAGTTTTTCTGGGGAGTTTATTTCCTCTGCTCTCACTGTATCTGTAATGATAATCATAAACTCTGTGTCAAAGCAAGAAGTGTTTCTGTGTCGGGGAGGAGGATTTCGGGGCAGTTTAAATAAGCATCCCAGCACCAGCTGCCTCCACCCAGCCCGGGGTTATCCACGCCGGGCCTCGAGTTTGGTGTTCTTGCTTCCTGCAAGGTCATCTTATATTTTATTGCATCCGTTTTGCCGTAAGATAATGGATTTTTTTTTTTAATGGAATGTGTAAAGAATTTTGAGGTGGCTCCTAGTTGAGCTTTGCACAAAAATGCATTATTCACAGGTTTGTGGAAGCTGTTCGTGCTTCCTAAGGATTTTTATACACTGAAACTACGAAGTCCAGTTCTAAAAACAGCATTGTTTGGGTTTGCTTTATTATTTTTATTCCATAACATTCAGGCAATTCCATCTTCCTTTTACAGTGTTTGAGATATTAATGAGCCCTGGGTTTGAAGCAGGAATTTTCTTTCTTCCTGAACCTTGTCAGAAATATTTGGTCTAAACTGGGTTAGTTTAAGGTGATGCATTGTGGATTTGTTTGTTTTTCTTGCAGAAGACTTAAYAAAATTGGCATTTGTTTTAGAAACAAAGGAAGGACTCTCTTGCCAGGTTCCCGTGGCCTGGTTTTTTTTTTAGTTACTTAATGAGAGAGGTGGAGGCTGGGATTTTGAGACGCTTCAGGTTCCAGGAGGAAACACTTTTTGGTGTTGGTAGAATTGTTTGCCTACTAATAACATATCATATGGGAAGAAAAGCAGCAGTTCAGTCCTGGTGTTCAGGTTGTATTTAATCTGCCTGGTTAATGGGAAGCCTGGAATGTCTCTTTATATCCACTCAGGTTGCAATTGATGTCATGCCATTTTTGGGTGGTTTTGCTCCTCCAGATAGCCCAGCGTGCTGGCTTTAATGAGACAAGAGATAATCAGGCCTGAGAAAACCAATCAATTGTAGTGAGCTGCAGCAGGAGTGCGGAGTAACAAACAGAATGCAAACTTCAGGAATTTGATTAATGGGAACAAATTGGCAATAGGCAATAAACTGTTGGTGGAAGAGTCAGTCAATGCTTGTGCTGAGCTGCAAATGCTCCTGCTGAAATCCTGAGCTGCAGCTCCTCAAAGTCCAAATTCTGAGCAGCAACAAAGCTCAGGCTTTGTCTGGGATGGTTCTGGGTTGTCCCAGCTGAGCGAGTGGGGAGAATGGAGAAGGTTTAWGGGGTAAAAGAGGGAAAACAGGCTWMCAGACAGTTTACCTCAGGTTGTCTTTAATGGCAGTGAGACAGCAGCTGGGAGAGGAGTAAATGGCTCTGAAATGCTTCACTGAAGAGTTGGAGGGCTCGCTGGCTCYGTGTCCGATGGGATGTTCCTGTGATTTATTACACAAACGCCAGGGAAAACCGTTCCATTTTAAGGAAATGGTTTTAGCAACGCACACTCATGGAGCTCTTGCATGCTATATACATTAAATCCTTCGCTCAGCTCCTATTGCTCTGACTTCCTGGAGATGTGGCTTGTTGTGGGGGGAGTGAAGGATGCGAGAACCGGCCCAGCAACGCAGGGTTTGCTCCTCCAGCCAGAATTCACAGAAACTGGGCCCCACTGGCAATGTTATGGCTTCTCTTATTACAGTTGAAATCATTCCTAGTACTTAAGCTTGTGGGGGATAAGGATCATTAAGGAAGTTTAAGAAAGGGCAAAGGCTGAGAGAAGCCATTAAAGAGGAGGAGAGTCTGAAAGGGGGAAAAGTTTTGCCGGYTGGTCGCGGTCCAAAGCCTTGCTTCCAGAAGTTGCCCTTCCACCCTTAACTCTTTARCTGGGATTCTTCTTGGACTCAGGTACAAGAAGGAAGGGAAAGRAAGGGATTGTTTGCCTGCAGTGGTAAAGGTCAGTTGTCCGTTTGTCTTGCTGCTTTGTTTCCCTCGGCTGCTGGCCAAGGCCGGGCTTGGCAAGGCTGGACACTGTGCTTTAAGTGCTGCCTGACTCAGCAGTRTGTAATGTATGGGACATCCGGAATTGGGGCTTTTTTAATAATTCTATTTTGATAGAAAACCCAGCCRTGTTATTTGGAGGGTTCCAGTAGTCTGTGTTGTGATTTGTCAGCTTAATGTARCACTGTACTTGGGGGAGGTTGAGTCTGGAAGTGCAGGGCAAAAAAATCCAGTTGTTTTGGCAGAAAGGGATGAATCAGGAATGTCCTGCAGAATGTGCTCTGAGGTGCTGTGTAAAGGTAACTGGATAAATGAGAGGTCATGTGAGCTGTAATCCACTTCTCCCAGTTTTGGCTGATCCTTCCATTGAGCTCACAGCCAAGTAGGTTGTTTTAAGTCCAACCCAAATTGTTAACTTCTGCTTATTTATTTCTCCCTGCAATGATCTCTRYTTTAAACYTAATTCTGGCTTAGAAAACAAGCTTATTTTTGTTGTCCATTCTGTTTTTTTATTTATCTCCATGGTTAAACCCCACTGCCAGGGAACGCAAAGCTGCGGTTGAACGAGTCCTRCTCACGAATCTTCTCAGAAATGTGAAATTCAGGCATTATACAACTCCTACATCGTGTATTTACCATGCTAAACATTGCAGTGAGAGCAGTTTATCTTGGGGGAAGCAAATTTCCCTTCTTCCTTTGATTATTGCTCTCATTCTGGARCTGAACAAGTGCTGCCTATTCTGTGTGTATATGTAACTGCAAACTGGAATTGTTTCTGCATTTTAGAAGGTTCCCAAGTCCCCCTGTCTTCCTGGGTCCAGTTTTATAGGCACTGCTGAGTGTGGTGGTAACTTCCCTCCTCCCAAAGCTGTTGCTTCAGGGTAGCATTCATTTTTGGGGTAGTTGAGCCCTGCCTGAGCTGCTGTCCCCCCAATCTGCTGTAGTGTCATGGAACATTCTGCAAACACCCCCCATGGCATCATTCTTGAGGAAAACAACATCCCAATAAAATCCTGTTCTCARTCCAAGTTACGAGCGATGGGAAGAGCTGTGCAGAGCCGTAGTTAAAATTACCTTGGCTTTGTGCTGTTAAAATA